ATTTTATGGTTCCTTTTTACTCTAATAATTAAAGTGCAGATTGATTAGAAATTGACCATGCTTCATGCGCAAGCAAAGCACATCAAAGTGCACATCATTTTATTAGAAAAAGATCGTAGAAGAGGAAGTAGATCTTCCAATTTTTTACAATAACTAACTAGCAGATATATTTATGAAATTTTGACTATCTAAAAAAATGACCATGAATAAAAGTATAATTGAATAAGAAGAAAAATAATAAAAAAGATTATTTTCTTTGTTCCAGATTAGGGGTGCAAACGAATCGAGTTGAGCTTGAGTCAGACGTGTTCGACCCGAGCTCGACTTTCAAATACCGAGCTTGAGCTTGAACTCGAGTCAAGCTCGACTCAATAGGGGACACGAGCTCATCAAGCAGCCCTATCCACGACTCCCATCCCTCGTCTCGAGGTCGCCGCCCTCATCTCATGAGCCATGACTCATCCCCCAAGGCCGCGACTTGTGCGCCTCGTCCCGAGGTCGCTGCCCTCGCCTGCATATCTCGCCATCCCGCATCCTCATTGTAGCACACGCCACACGCTGCCTTAGTCCGCACATGCGTCCTTCTCGAGCCGTTCGACGAGTAATCGAGTCAAGCTTTGCTCGGTTCGAACTCGAGCTCGTTAATGAGTTAAGCTCAAAATTATGCTCGAACTCGACTCGTGAGCTTGATAAGCTCGGCTCGCGAGCCCATAAAAGAGTCGAGCAAGCTGGCTCGGCTTACTTACACATAAAATTATTCTGTGTGGTCACCTGACGGCTTTCGGAGGCAAATAAGAGCGCGTCACGTCACTTCTTTTGTTGTATACCGGGTGATGTGGCGCCCTCTAATTTTGCCTCCGGACGGTCTGATGACTGCACAAAATAATTTCTCTACTTTTTCATAAGTTTGTGTGTATGATGTTTGGCTTTGAGAGAAAGAAGAAGAAAACTATAGAGGAAGCTTCAACCATTCACAACTTGAGATCACCCTGATGAAAAGATAACACTTCCAATCCCTTTCTCTTGTGGCAAAAGAAAACGGAATTAGCAACTGAAACAGAAAGAAAGAATTTTGTTTAGCTTGTAATTACCGTATTAAACTAAAAGGTTAGCTAAAGGTACCTGTCTTAGTGCAAATTGACAGTTTTTTAAGAGCCAAACAAATGTTGCTTCTCGAATTTAACATCGGCTTGCATATCTTTTATGTATGTTTAAAATTACAAGTTGATCGAGTGTTAAATCAGCAGATATATAAGAGGATAGGGATGAATCTTATCATGACTTGGAACTTCTTTTTTGCCTAACCTATTATTTAATTACACACCAGCTTGATAAGTAACTGCATTTATTAAGTACTCTCCAAATTGGTTGAATATTGCATGCACGTACTTGTCTTACAGTATAGTGTAATATTTTTTGTGATTTTACAAAACTAATTCTATTTCTGTTTCTTCTATATATATTTGTATAAGCTAATAGTCGAAAATCAGTCTGAAAGCTAAGAAGTAAGACAAATGGTGTTACAGCTGGTTTGTCTTGTCTATTCTAAGATTTTGTTTGGGATGATTTTCTTACTGCTTCTTATTAAAGCAATATTTTAGTACAAAAATTTAATTTTTTGTACTAAAAGCTGTTTTAAGAAATAGTAAAAAAATTGTCTCAAATTAGATCTAAGATTATAATCATAACTATGTACATTAAATTAATTCATAGAGTAAATTAATAAGATCAACTAATTATTAGTGCTTATAATATATATTAGTAAAAGATTAAGCATGTTTGAACTAATATCAGAGGAAATTAAGAACTAAGGAAATGGTTCAGTTAAGCAGCCCAGAAAACATGCAAGTTGAAAGAGGAAATAAAAAGTTTCACCCAAGGTATAGAATCACTCATACAGAAAGATTCCCCTCAATTTTTTATTAAACTAACAATTTTTTTTTAATATAAGAAATTAAACATACAAAAATAATTAATTTTTATCTTAAAAAGATTAATTTGAAGAGAATTAACAGGCTGGAAATAATATCAGTATGAGAATTGGATGAGTTCAAAATCAAATATTTATAAATAAAAAAAAAATAGAATTATATTGATTTTATGTACCATTATTGGCCATTAAGGATCCAATTAGCGGTGATTAATTCAACTACGTCAATTTATAAGAAAGTGGGCATCACTAACAGCATTATGAGAATATGCTAAAGTTACCTATGACTTAATTCCAACATTACCCACTTTGTTGTTGTTGTAGTTGTTTTTTTTTATAATAAATCTGAAGCACAAAGCTGGCCTGTTTGAGCTGTTTTGCAACTGGAATTATCTGTATTTAGTGCAAGTGGGAGTCTAATGACTCTTTTCTATGGAGCTTAGAACAAGTTTGTTGCATGAACTGAGAAGAATCTGAAGGCTAAGCTGTGCTATTAGGGTAATCTGAGCAGATTAATATGATGAATAAATACTAAAGATTGAATGCTCATTCCATGTTGTGATTAATTAATACAGGTGTACTATACTAAGGAAGCTTCTTTGGATTTGATTGCTAAATGCCACTACAAGAAAAACGCTCATTTCCGACGGATTTTTCGGCTGAAATAAATATGTCAGAAATTCCAGCAAATTTTCCAGCAGGTTTCTGACCTAACATTTCCAGCGGATTATTTTCAGCGAAATTCGGGTGTGTTAGCGAGCGGGCCTAGTTCATGGGCCCGCGGGTTTGCAGGCGAGCCTGGTTCACGAGAATGGGTGTTCGTGGGCGGGCCAAGCCCGCCAGTAGTGGTAGCCTAGCAAGTGCTCTTGGTACATAGGCCCCCGGGTGGGCCAGGTTCATGGGCCGATGGTTATGGCAGCTGGCCCCCTCGGGCTAATAACTTTTTTTTCCTTAGCAATTTTAGGCCGATTTTTTTCGATGGTGTTTGTTTTTTCCGACGCGTGAATTACCGTCAGAAATCCGCCTGAAATGTAAATTACCGACAGATTTTCTTTATTTTTCGGCGGAAATTGCCGCCAGAAAATGATATTTTTCCTGTAGTGTGCCACTCTCTTCTTATATAATATATATATATACGCATGAAGTCTTTATTTATAAACTAATGAGCTCCTATTTCATTCATTAAATTTTGATCAAATGATTAATAATTATAATGATTAGTTTATGTTTGTGCTAATCTATCATTTTGAGTCATATTAGTAAAATTAATGCTTATTTGTTAGTCAATGATCTTCTCTTTGGGAGTATTAGGGGTTTTTTAGATGCATTATTATTTCTCTTTTTAAATATTTCATTTTTAGAGTTGTCAACGAATTATAATTGTCGTGTATGCCCATCTTCAATGGGTTCGTATCAATTGATGTTTTCACATCACCATGAGGAAACCTCCAATCATATGAGTCTCACTTTTTTAAAATATTAAAATTAAGATTTTATTTCTTAATATTCGTTAAGTCTCCTCAATACCTTCGGAACACTTATAATCATATAAATTTCCCTTATTTAAAATACTTAATTTCATTTTTTTAGCTGCCTAATTTTCTCAATGGTTGAAGATTTTGCTTTCTTTTGAGAGGGCATATTTTTTTAATTATATGATGATGAATTGTTTGCTCAAACTTTAATGAATAAAAAATAAGTAATTTGTTTATTAAATATTGATGCGCAATGAATAACAAGAAAATGGGCCTAAGAAAAAGTCTATTATGGGCTCTAAATGTTGGGCTATACGGTTCTAAAGTCATCAAACTTTTAATTCTATCTCGGTCCACAACTTTGTTTTTTTGAAAGTGAAATTTTGTTCGAGGTTTAGCTTTGATTTTAAATCTATCTAGTTTTTTATTTTAAATATTACAAATGTTCAAATTTTTTTCCTTTTTTATAATGAGACGTAATTATTTATTTAATTTTTAAATATTAGATTCAAATATTTTATTATTTTAATGCTTTTAATTTTATATAATAAAATTTAAAAGTAAAATATTGGTCATTTGTTTATGTGAACTCAACTTTTATTTTGAAAATTATGAATTAGTGAAATGGACCCGTATAAACGTGGCAGAAGACTTATAAATAAATAAGACAATTATCAGGGGCGAATTTAGAAAGAGCTCATAGTGGGTTCACTTAAAAAAAAAAAAAGAATTTAGGCCCCTAAAAATTATGTATATAATATATAAAATTTATCAATTCTCAAAACAAACATCTTCAGAACTCCATTCTTAAAATACTCAATAGATTATCAAAATTCACAATGATTATTTTTTTCTCATAACTA